TAAGGGGACCCAATTCTTGCATTCTGTGAAAACGGGTAAGGTTGACTGTAACGTAATAATCTTTATCTTAGTTATCGTTACTTTTGCCCCAGCAACGCCGGGCCCACCTGCTAGTTAATATTATAATTTTTTTCAAACAACAACTTATTAGCTTTCATTCTTTTAATTTTCCAAGTTTGTTGGGCTGCAATTTGAAAAAAATTGTACACCTTTAAATTTCCACTTTCGGCTGTCCGTCCGTCTGTCTTTTTTTAAATCTTGAGAATAGAGTTAGATAAATGAAAAACAAGACCAGATGTAGAAATATTAGGGGCAGGAAGCCCAATTAACTACATAAGAACTTCTGATGTAAATCGGAAGACAGGATATTTCAATTCAAAAAATTTTCCCTGAAAGGAGTTAGATAGATGACCGGCACGACTCTGTTGTTAAAGGAAAAGAATGATGTACAGGGGAAATAAATTTCAAATTTATACCATCGATCTTAGACGAATTATGAAAATTTCACGTGACTATATTGCAGACTATCCACGTATTTATAACTTTTCTTTATCGTCTTTTTTGTCACATTTGTCTTTGAGTGTGGATACGATCATGCGTATTAAAACAAATGCAAATCAACACCACTTAACGTTTACTTTTAACATAGTAATGTTTACTTTAAACATTCTATAAAAAAACAATATCTCACATTAGCAACAGTGATGTGTTACATTTCATAACTTATAATTAAATCACACATTTATTTCAGATAACCACAGCTATTAAAAATACATTAAAACTTTCTGTTCAACCCAATATAACCTTTACTTATTGACCACGATATTGGAAAGCATCACTTTACTAATTATAATGTTTCTAAATTTTAAAACATATCTTTATAAAACCTACAAGACAATCTAAGTACCATTTTACACGTATCGGATAATTTAAAGAAGATTAAAGATTGCTGCCCAGCATTGTGACGATGTCACAATACATAATTGCTCTTTATTAATTAACTTTTAATAAATAAATAAATTAATTAATTTATGTATATTTCTTACTGTTGTCGTGTAGTAAAAGTCTGACAATAAATCTTTTGTTAATGATAAAGTTATATAAGACTTAATCAAAGAAGACAAAAATAAGAACTTTTTAATAACAATAGATTAGAATTTTATGGTAATTTCAAAATTTTAAAATGTTTTAGTCATTTACTTTCAATGATTATTAATGTGGGGCTGACTTATTTTGCTTATTGAGCATCGCCACGTATATTTTATAAATAAATAAGTAAATGATTATTAATGATAATTTATCAACTATTTAAACGAATAAGATCTAAAAAATGTAACGATAAAAATTATTGCCTTCATAATATATATGTAATTAGTTTAAATTATTTCAATCATTTACAAGTTAACTAAGATGGTTCAGATAAATATTAATAAATAAGCTAAATATATTTAACATTTACTTCCTAAAGTATAGATATGCTGTATAATTTATCTTTTAAAATTATTTAGATATAGGCTAATACAATGAAAAATGTTTTGCATGATTTGTTGTTAGTATTGATGAACAAATTAAAAAGTTGCTACAAAAACTATAAAAAATGCATTTTAATGCATTAAGTAAACGAATTCTGATTTTATATTATTATTAATATTATATGTTATAAGAAAATTTATTCAGCTTTAAGAATATGTAATTAAACAATTCTTTGATCGATCAATGCAATGCAATTATTGTAATTTAAAGTTTAATCAAAATTCTCTTATTTGGAATGTTATTTGTATTTGTGTAAAATGTGTAACGGTCACAGAGATTGCGTAATCGGGTGAAAACTGACGTATTGAACTTTTATAAATCATTTTGTAATATGCAAGGTACAATTTAAATTGGTTTAACATTAATTAAAGAATTCGTAAACCTAGAAGAAACAAAACTGTGTCTTACGATTAAACTGAAGGGGGAAGTAACATTCCAAAGTGCATCTTTGATCAAGTAAAAGTAGCACGGCAAACATTAGTCTCTGGTCTTATACTTAAACTTTTTTCAATACATACTGTGATAATTCTAATTATAGCCGTTCTAGAGTTATAAACCTTAACATTAAATAAGAACGACAAGAAGCAATTTGTTTATAATTTGCCAAGATCTTTACTGTTACGCAAATAATAGGTTACAGCTCTTCTTTTTGTATTTTTACTTTTTTATTTTCTGATTACATGAAAACAAGCCGATTTTTGACTTTTTGGGAGTTTTAAACACTTTAATTGGAAAAAAGTTAGTAGTAAATTAAAAATATCTGAAATAATCAACTTTTCATTAGGGTTAGAAAAATATCTAACGCCACCTCAAATGATCCGTAAATTGGTAATACGGAATTGTGGCACCGCCAGCGCCTCATATTCCACAGATGATTAAACCTTGTCACATTGCTTATCAGAAATAAATGAGCACCGCATTATCTATTGGAATATCTATACGAGAACAAAATCATCTATTTATATTATCCTGTATATAGTTATAAAAAATACTGTCATACATAAAAATCCTGTAAAATACTATACTTGCCTATGTTAAATAGTAAATATCACTGTTAATTTACTTTACTGATACTGACTAAGTAAAGAATCATTTAACTCCTTTGACTTTATTAATGTATCCTAAGCTTTCAGTTGCCTGCTCGAGATCTTACTATACAATACACTACGTAATAGTCAGAAAAGTTACAAATGTATTTTATACATTTGTAAATAGCATGAACCAAATTTATAAAAAAAAAATTATAAGTAGTTGGGAGCCTCATGCGGCTCGTGAGCCACAGTTTGGCCACCGTGGCCATATTCTTTATGTTTGCCACAACTTGCTTAAGGTGGTTGATTCTGCTATACAGATACAGACATTATCATATTGATATTTTTATCCCTAGTTTCACTAATTTGTAAAATCCGCTATTCCGGCATCTTTCTGGTCCCAAGCTTTCCGGATTAGCGAGGTTCAATCTGTATTGTAGAGTTAAAATATTAAGTAAACAATATACAGTATGTACATTTATTATTTCGTTTATCAGTTAATAAAAAACATAAATATATAAGTTATATACCGTAGTTTTATTAAAAAAATGTATTTCAATTTTATGGCAACACTATTTAATTAATTCTCAAACTTTAAACGTTTGTATTTTTAAGCCAAAATGTTTATATTTTGTTCTACTTGCTCTTGAGAACGTTTGAACACTAATATCAAAGAAAGCAGATCCACGATGATGATGTCATACAAATGAAGATCATTGCCTTCTGCCCTATCATCCCTTTGTCATTAGCAATAGCTGGTTGATTTTGGTACACCTGTAAACGCTTTAACAAACGCTTGCAGATGAGATGGCAAGCCTTCGTTGCGTTGTGGCCATTTTCAAATCATAGAGCAACAGCACGCGAATGTTTTATATTGCCAGATATTGCTGATGCGTCTATTTCCAATGAAGTATGTGATGAAACGCTCTTTGCTTACTCTAATTATCATTAAGGTTTCCATAATACATTATTAATTTATAAAAAGTAATAGTGATTTTTACAATTTCATTAATTATTTTAAACTTTAAAAAATTTAAGTTCTATCGATTTAACTTTAAAATCAATATTTAAAAAATTATAAAATAAGTAAATGTTCAACTTTTCAAAAATATTTAAAATATATTGGGTTACTTTTGTATTTTTAAGTTATAAATAATACTCTTCTGATGTTCTATCTCAAGAATTCTTTCTATAAATAAGCAATAAAACTTCTATTGAGTTATAATGAATAAATGTAATGTAGCTTAAAATGTAAAATATATAATAATTTATACAAAAATTATATCAAATTATTATGGATATAGGCCTACTATAGAATTATAAATAATAAAATATAGCACCATCTGTCGGAGAAAATTCACGCCAGACAAATTTTCTACTCCAAGGACAGACTCATTCTGTTGACACTCGTGTATAGAAGTAAGCGAAGTCGCTATTACAAAGGAAATAATGTCCGAACTTTGCTTTAAGTATAATTACAAAGTATAAAATTAGCGAATAAGTTGTATAATCGAATTAGATGTGATAGAAAAACTATGGAAATAGAAAAAAACGGTGCAGAATTTCGCAATAAAAAGTGAGTAAATAATTTTCTGTTTAAACAAAATATATTTTATGTCAATTGAAAGCTTTACTTTGCATCTAAGTATAAACTGTTCATTGGATATTTTAAATTGATACACAATTAAATAGAAATATCATTCGAGATTGACAACTTTAAGCTCGGGATACTATAATTTACATTCATTTTAAGTTATTTCCTTTCAGGGGTAAACATTAATAATGATGGTCTAAAATTTTAAGTTATATAGTGTCTAGACGTATTAAGTGATCTTTCTTAGTCATTCTATCCTGCAACATTAAGAGGATTGTTTTCTTGCCCATCATGGCAACAGGGATTTTTTTCTTGCTCATCATACGTATAATGGTTCAATAGTATATGAGACGGGGTCTGACATAAACATCTAAAATCACTTAGGCAAATTTCAAATGATTAAGCCACAACTCATAATTGAATCCTTCAGAACAAGAGACTAATATCGTTACCGTCTTGAGTCTGTTCGTCACTAATTATTAATGAGGCATCGCTAATAATTATCTTATTTAATAAATGATTTATTTTAAATTCTATGTTTATATAATTTATGAATTAATAAAAATGAATAAATTATATATTTTTTTTTTGTTGTGCAAATACAAATATATTGTTAGCAATATTGTATATTCACCTACATTTGTTATTCCAGCGCAATATTCTTTTCGTTTATATTGTTATCTTGGCCTTTATATTAATTTTAACTACATGAACAAAGACGAACAGGAAACTGGGAATTAAGTTCTTGTAAAACAACTGACTAACAAGAGTCTTAATAAGATAATATAAAAATGGAATGTCTCATTAATTTATAAATCTAAAGGAAAGTTTAAAATAAATAAATAAATACATAATTTAAGTGAAATTTTTTATAAATGTAATTAAAAGAAAGATCCTAAATTTATGATGAATAAGTCAAATTTGTTAGTTTCAAAATACAGATTAATGTTAATCAGGAAAATTTTGAGAAAATTTCTTCATTTTTTAAAAATTATTTCTAGAAAATCTAAAATCAATTAAAAAACTAATTACTATAAAGCGTAATTACTGTACTTTTTGCATTAAATAAATTCATTAGAAAGCTTAAAAACATTTATAATTCATAAATTTGGATTTCTTTATTACTTAAAAACTGTTAATTTAATTTATTAAAACATACACATTAATTCATTTGATTTATTAAAAAGTTTTCTATTGTTTTTACTCACTCATACGTTTCCATTCATTTGGAATACTAAAATAATACTCTTTTAAAAGACGTCAGCTTCCATTTTAAAAAGCTGATATACAGTAATACAATTCAGTCAGCTATATGTGGACATCCGGAAAATTATTGTGTAACTTTCATGGTCAACTGGAACAATTTCTAATACAATTTTAATTTTTATGGGCGTTTTATTCATTTATTATAAACGACAAAAGAAAAGGACACCATAAAGATTTTTAATTATTTTTTTATTTGAATGACCGTGGTATTTGATTTTATACTAGGATATGTTTTAATTCTACGTATATTCTGATCTCACATATGCCTCATTTTGTGGTCAGCGTATTTCATAAATTAGTTAAAATTTCAATGAATTATGCATTTTTATTTGCTTTATCTACTATTTTTATGCTATTACTCGTATATTACTTTAGTTTTAAAACGACTCTTGCTTTTAAAGTAAAAAAAAATAAAATAAAAAACAGTGTGTAGCTCGCAAAGTTCACTAGAGAGCACAAGCGCACATCACCTGAATTTACCTCTCTCCGGAATTAATTATTCACAATACGTTGTGTTTGTGAGAGGAACATGTGTTCTAGATACAAAGAAATACAATGCCTTATATTTTGTTTATTTTATAATATTGTGATTATTATATAATATTAACTTGTACAATATACATATATTATAAATAATTATAATGTACAGATTGATAATCGATTTTCCAAACAGAATTAGTGTACGTAAGGTCACAGATAGCTTTGCGTGTAGCTTTGTTCTCTTGGATTGTCAACACCGTAACTGTTAATTATTTCTCTATTCTTCACACCTTTTGTTCATTTTACTTAAAAGTAATAGTTGGGGTTAAATGTAGGAAAGATGCAAACAACGGTGGCATAAAATGTAAACACGAGTCTACATTTAATATATAGTTAATTCAAATTTTCAGCAGCCCATAATGTTTTAGAAACTTGAAAGGCATATAATAGTAGATCCAGGATATGCTATTGAGCTGTTATTAACCTGTTACGTAAGCAGTTTCGAACATGAAATTACATCACACAAGTGAAATTTCGGATGTAAATTATTAAGACAACCTTTTTTTTTAGCTATTGTAAACACCGTCCCTCACCTCTTGACCGCCTCATATGGTGAGAGAAAGCACTTGGCAGGACCACTTCCAGAAAAATTTCAAAGTTTTTCGACTACATCCGGATTCGATCCCGGGTACCCAGAGCAGTTGGCTGCCGTTCGGTCATCCGGCTGTCGCATCACGCGTATTAGAAATGTAATGTAAGGAAGAGGTGTAAGTAGTGTTGTAACGAATAGTATATTCGGCCAGGAGCGTGGCCGAATAGCCGAATATTTGGCCAAACTATTCGGCTTGATTAACGCACGTACGAAAATTGGCGCGCAAACCGCATTATAGCCAGGACCTGCTCTCCATTGGCCCACTGTCACTACGCTTCGCCAATCGCGTTAATTCTTGACAGTTCAGACAAGAGCGTCATGGCAGTATGTGATAAATGACGATATCAAATGTGAATAACAATGAAATGACCTACACGTGTAAATAACGGAAAAAGAACAGAAAAAGACCGCGAAGTTAAAATGTGAAAATAAATAAGAAATTGAGTTGATAGCATAATAGAACAAGTCGAAGCAGCTTATTGGCGCCAAATTTGCGGCCGTCAATGCCAAACAGGTGTTGTCATAGACTTCGGAAAGCTTAATGCTTGTAATGAAAGTCACTTAGCGTGCACGGGCGAAAGCCTGGGGCCGTTCGGGCTATCAAGCTGTCTCGAATCTGTGAAATCATAACTGTGACTTATATCGACGTCCTATCTGTCTCTTTT